CTCTCCTCTCCTCTCCTCTCCTCTCGTCTCCTCTCGTCTCCTCTGCTCTTCTCTTCTCTTCTCCTCTCCTCTCAGTCTGCTTGCGCAATGCTTCTGGCATGTTGACCTGATCTGCTCATAAGTAAAATCGGTGGCATCTATTCTTTCTGCCCTTCGCGAGTGCTACTGCTATTCATCCTTGTTGCTGCTAGAACTATGTGGACTATTCCATTAGGCGACAGTCGTTCTTGTTGTTGTTTGTTGTTGTTGTTGCTCTTCTTCTTCTTCTTCTTCTTCTTCTTCTTCTTCTTCTTCTTCTTCATTGATGATGACGATCTTCTTGTTCTTCTTGTCAAGGCTCAGCCTTTGGCCATGCTTATCAATGATGCTCATAATTGTCGTAAATGGAGCAAAAGGCTTGCACAGGCCGTCTCTTCGCATGTTTCTTATTATATAGAGCTTGTGGAGCAAAAGTGGAGCAAAAGGATGTATCTGGTCCATATCAGCTTGAGATGCATGTAGAATGCTGAGTAGTGCAGTGAGGTCCTGTGTCAATCAGTGCGCATTGGAGGTGAATTGGGCCATATGAAAACAGGAGAAACAAAAAAGAAACCACTTTTCTCTTCTCTGTAATTTAAAGAAAAAACTTCTTTGTGTAGCACTTCGTTCTGTTTGAGAATTAGACCGCCAGTCCTTGGCCCGTACATCGGCCCCGGGCCCCTCAGCGGCTCTCAATTCTGAGATGCCGAAGATGAGATGCTACTTGGGGATGCTGTGAACGCGACAAAGGCCATGGATGAGATTTACCAACCCCTGCCCGTTCCCTTTTCATTTTTATTATTTATTTATTTATTTATTTACTTATTTATTTATTTATTTATAATTTGTTTTAAAAATAATTAATGTATTTATTTTTACCGATATGAAGATTGAGGACGCGATAACATGAGGAGCCGGCGGCTGATGTATGGGCTAAGTACTGGTGGTTCAAGTAAAGCAAAAAAAGGAGAGGAGAAAAATTAGGAAGGATGGAATTGAAATGGGTTTGGGGCCAAGTACTGGTGGTTTTAAGTAAACCCCCAAAAAAAGAGAGGAGAAATATGAAGTATGGAAATGGGTTCGTGAGCGCCGGTCTCATCAGCTTTATCGCACCACCCCCTTAGGAGTGGGTATGTGTTTCTTCAGGACGACGGAGGTCCGTATCCGCATTTTGTGTTATCCAGGTGCATTCTGACATGCAGATGAGCCAAACTGCAGGGACTCAACTGGTATTCAACACTTCCAGCAACGCGATTGGTCTCTGTCCACCCATCCATGAGAAACTCCATCCCATTATGTCCGGGGCAAGAAGGTAGGCACCCTCAGGCTTCTGAATGTGATGAAGATACCTTCTGCCCTCATCAATGCTGATGTCATTGGTAATCATTCCACCTGGAACCCTGGAACTCTGGAACCCTGGAACCTGGAACTTGGAACCCTGGAAACCTGGAACCCTAGAAAATGGAACCCTGGAACCCTAAGGCTTCTGAATGTGATGAAGATACCACCTGGAACCTGGAACCTGGAACCTGGAAACCTGGAAACCTGGAAACCTGGAAACCTGGAAAATGGAACCCTGGAACCCTGGAACCCTGGAACCTGGAACCCTAGAAAATGGAACCCTGGAAACCTGGAAACCTGGAAACCTGGAACCCTAGAAACTCGAACCCGGAAACCCTGGAACCTGGAACCTGGAACCCTACAAACTGGAACCTTGAAACCCTGGAACCTGGAATCTGGAACCTGGAACCTGGAACCCTGGAACCCTGGAACCCTGGAACCCTGGAACCTGGAACCCTGGAACCCTGGAACCCTGGAACCTGTTAAATCCACCAGTTCCACACGGGAGCCTAAGTTGACGAAGCTACCTGTCAAGGCTCGCGAACCCGCAACTGCGCCTTTTGGAAGTGGCCTGCCGCTTTTGATACCAGCCCACGCCCGAATGGGAATGATCTTACCCCCGTAAGACCCCTACTTCGGTGGTTTAACCTGCGGAATGAATTGCCAATTCAAGCAAGCCTTTTCTGTTCCTGGTTTCGCAGAGAACAAACCAAGGTAGAGGCCCCTTTTGTTAGGGACAAGTCGTTTCAGAATGGCGGGTGCATGCATGTTGTTCATGCTTGCAGGGCGTGCCTCAGTTTGCATGCTTGGTGGTGTCGAAGAAAGAAGGGGGCTGTGGTGCCTGTCACTACTGTTAGGTCTAAGCTCCCCTCGATACCGGTAGGGTGATGGTCACTACTGTTCGGTCACACTCAGGCTGAGGTAGGATAGTAGGGATAGCGGATGCGCTAGGAGTATTGACGTGAGGATGGGATGGGTGGTGGCCTCGCCTGCTCAGAACGACCACGGCTGACCGCTTCCGGCGATCAATGTGTGCCTAGTAACTGGCCTCTACAACACCCTGGACTTTTAAAAAAAGAAAAAAAAAAAAGAAAAGGAGGCTGTGAGGACGTGGTGCCTTCTTCGGCCGGACACCTTCGTCCGAGTGAGCGATAGAACAAAACGGGCCTAGCTCAGTTGGTACACCCGTGAACTGCTCAAATGCAGTGTCGAGTTCGAATCCAGCTACAATCAGATGATGACCAGAATGAGAAGGAATTACATGGGGGCCGTCACTTCAATGCTGATATGTCACTCAAAAAAAAAAGGAACATAGTCATCTTCACGTTTGGCATTTGTTCCCTAGGAAGGAGACTCGTCTTCCTCTCCTTCCCCAGACTACCCAACGCGCTGACAAGTTGCGTGTGAGGAGGTGCTTGCTCTGGTCGTTATGCTATGCAGAAGCTTTGTTGAGCAGTAGGGGAGGACGACGACGAAATCGATTCGGTTCCTGACTGTGTACTTTGGTCTTTCGTTTGTGGTATGGGTGGTGGTGCGGCGATCCATCTTGCAGAATGTCGAGAATCGAGCTGTGGAACAACCTTACAAGGCCTTATCTCGACTCGACACTTGAGTCCGTCGATTTGATCTCTTCATGGACTGCGCTAGAGAACCTGAGTAATATTACGATGTCCTCAGCAAGGCGGTTGTTGAGTAAGTCTCTCTCTCTCTCTCTCTCTCTCTCTCTCTCTCTCTCTCTCTCTCTCTCTCTCTCTCTCT